TGGAGAAACTAGGGATAGAAGAAATTGATCTCAAACATTATAAATATATGACAAACCTAAAGCCAACATTATACTTAATGAAGACGACATTTTCTCTAAAATCAGGAATAAGACAAGGATATATACTCTCATCAGTCCTGTGCAATATAGTTCTTGAACCCATATCCACAGCAAGAGAAGGAAATGAAAGGGATAAACATAGGAAAAGAAGTTAAATTACCTGTTTGCTTATGACATGATTCTATGTCTAGAAGACCCCAAAAATTCTACCAGAAGTCTTCTAGAGCTGATAAACAAGGTCAGGAAAATAGCAGGATACAACATCCACATACATAAATCAACAGATTTCCTATACTCCAATAGTGGTTCTGCTGAGAAAGAAATCAGGAAAACCATCCTGTTTAAAATAACTTCAAAAACCAAAATATAACAAAACACTTGAGAATTGATTTAACCAAGGAGGTGAAAGATCTCTATGATTAAAATTATAGGACACTGAAGAAGAAAATTGAAGAAGACCTTGGAAGGTGGAAAGAGCCCTCATGTTCTTAAAGAGGCAAAATCAATATTGTCAGAACGGTCATACTATCAGAAGTGTCATACAGATTCAATACAATCCCCATCAAAATCCTAATACATTCTTCCCAAAACTGGGGGAAAAAACCCAGATCTAAAATTAATTTGGAAGATAAATGACCCAGAAAAGCCAAAACCATCCTGAGCAATAAGAGCAACACAGGAGGTATCACAGTACCTGATGTAAAATTATACTACAGTGCCATAGTGACAAAAACTGCGTGATATGGCATCAAAATAGACGTGAAGACCAATGAAATAGAATAGAAGACACAGAGACAAACCCACAAACTTAAGGCCATCTGATACTTGACAAAGGTGCCAAAAATATTTGGCAGAGAAAAGCTAGCCTTTTCAACAAATGGTGCTGGGAAAACTGGATATCCATATGCAGAAGAATGAACTAGACTCTAACTCTCACCTGCAAAAAAGTCAAGTCAAAGTGTATTAAAGACCTAGGAACTAGACCAGAAACTTCCCAACTACCAGAAAAAAAAAACACAGAGTCAACCTCAGACAGATGCAGGCACTGACTTCCTCAGGAGGGCCACGAAAGTTCAAGAAATAAAACCAAGAATCAATAAGTGGGATGTCATCAAGTTGAAAAGCTTCTGCACAACAAAGGAAATGATCAAGGGCATGAAGAGAGCCTATGGGACGGCAGAAAGCCTTTGCCAGCTGATTCCCCAACTGGGGATTGATACCCACGATATGTGAGGAACGCAGAGAGCTTAACACCAGAAGACAAAGACCAAAACAGATGACCCCATCAATAAGTGGACAAAAGAACTTAACAGAAAGAAAAAAAGGCAACAGATACATATATAAAAAAAGCTCAACATCGTTAGCAATCAGGAAAATGTAAATTGAACTATACTAAGGTTTCATGTAACTCTAGTCAGAATGGCATTTTAAAAAGTACAAATAATAATAAGTGCTGATGAGAATGTGGGGGAAAAGGTACACTCATACCTTGTTTTGGGAACTGTAAATCAACACAAACATGCTGGAAAATATTACGGGGATTCCTCAAAAACTAGGAATGGGAAACACCATATGACCCAGCTATCCCATTCCTTGGTATTTATCCAAAATAACTAACATCATCATACTATAGATGATGAGATAGAGCCACTTCCATGTTTATAGCAGCACAATTTACAACAGTGAAGTTATAGAACCAGCCCAGGTGTCCCTCAATAGATGAATGGATCAAGAAATTATATATATATATATATATATATATATATATATATACACACACACACACACACACACACACACACACACACACATACACAATGGAGTTTTACTCATTCATAAAAAGAATGAAATTATTGCATTTGCTGGTGAATGAACAGACCTGGAGAACATCATGCTAAGTGAAATAAGCCAGACTCAGAACAATCAAGGTGGGGGTGGGGGGGAGTCAGACATCTCAAAGATACAGTGAAGGAGAAGAAGGAAATCAAGAGGGAGAGGAGGGTAGGAAGAGGAGGAAATGTGACGAATTTAACCCAATCACATTAGGAACATATGTAAACCTAGCACAGTGAATTCCAGCTGTGTGTACAGGTGTGAAACAGCAAGCAAAATTAAATAAGTGAACGGGTGAAAGGCAGATGGGTAAAGTAGAGGAGGCAGGAGGGGAGCAAAAGGTGGGGGGCACCCGGGACTGGAGTGGGGTAAACCACATTCCATGCATGGATGACTTTGTCAAAATGAACCCAACCATTATGTAGAAAATGCTTTAATTTTTTAAAAAAGAGACTGAAATACTGTTTCCACCTGTTTAGCTGGGTTGACACAAAGCAAGAAGCCTGGTGACATGCTAGCTGGAAAACCTGTACAGGGCAGGCATTCCCCCGCCACTTGTGGGAAGGATCACATGCTCACCCAGCACCCAGAGAGACAGCAAGTAACACAACAAGCTCTGGATGCACCCCAAAGCCGTCCTGGCAAAATCACCAGGTGATACCTACCCATGACGTCCACTCAGCACAGCTTCATTCGTCTCGTTCACGGGCAGAGCTGCCCATCAACCAATGAACTGGCTGATAAGGCCACGAGGAAGCCGAGGAAGGTCCCCATGTCCCACCAGAGCTGTCTTCAGGACACACCGTCAAGTGGAGAATGCAGAGCACAGACCAGTGGGTGGATTGTAAGAAAGAGGAACAACAAACACAGATACACACACACACACACACACACACATGCACGCACACACACACACACATACTTTGGGTTATGTGTGTCTTTTTCAAAGCATGGAAGGATAAAGCAGAACTTACTAGGTCTATGGCCCACGAGGAGCAGGGACACAGGTGAGGGGCCTGGGCTGGGCACACTCTGTGAATGGGTGGTGAAGGGAGTTACTGCACACAGACCCCCTGGGGCTAGACAACTGTGCTGCAGGCCAGGCCCTGGTGTGCTGGGGCCGGCTCCAGCTGCCTCGTGCCAGGGGCAAGTTGATTGTTCAGTATCCAGGTGCTTGTCAAGAAGTTGGTGGTTGATGCTGGAGTTCAGGGGCTTCCCTCCAGGACTCCCCCAGACTCCCTGCCACACAAGGGTCCAGACTTTTCCCCGGGTGACTGACCACTCCCCTGCCTCATCCAGAGGTCTTTCTCCCTCCCTCCCTCCCTCCCTCCCTCCCTCCGTCCCTTCTTTTTTCTTGACAGATTTCTGGTAGTGTACAAGTGATATGCTAGCAAATTAGATTTAGTACAAAGTACAATTTTTTTGTTCATCTTATAAAAGATCTTGACTTTCTTTCCATGGCCACACACAGCTCCACCTCGCTCCTGGCATTTCTAAGCAATCTCAGGGAAAGACAAGGCTGTGCACAAACTTCCAGAAACTATTAAGGTTTCAGAAGTAGCAATGGAAACTATTCAGCAATAAAATCCACATACCTCTACATTCAACAGTGTGAGTGACGCTGACAAATGAAATGGTGGGCACCGGAGGTTTGATAAAATAGTCCCATTGGCTGACCATTTACATAAGATTTGCAATCGATAAAATTGGCCTAGAATACTATTATAGAGATGCACAAAAGTAATCCCATTCCTCTGTTAATGGTATCCTCCACAATCTGCAGTGTTCCTGGCTCCTTGCTGTAAATGTAGGAAGGACACTACAACCAGAACAGGGCAGGAGCCATGTCTGTCAGGCCACCTGCGGCACTCCCCGCATAGCCACACACCTGGGGATGTCAAAGACGGACAGCACAGGGCTCAGTTGAAACTGACACCTCGAATCCTGAAACACCCTCAGGAGGCCCTGTCAAAATGAGAGTCGAGGGGCAGGAGCTAAATGCTTGGCTACCTCCAGCTCAGAGTGGGTCCAGGGCTCCACGGACCAGTGGTCATGACCTGGGTCTCTGAACGTACATTGGCATGGACATCCCTGGAGCCAGGCACTGGGACCCCTTGGCCTCGTGGTGAACACACAGGGCCCAGCATCTCCTGTAAAGTGTTCTTGCCCCAGGATTGACCCTGCTCATGAACCTTCATTTCAGCCGATCTGCAGATCTCCTCTCATGTCACAGAAACTAGAGACAGTGAGGGGATATTTTACACAACACGAAAGACAGATACAGAGGGCAGGCAGCTCCCCAGGACAAATAACTCCATTTCTTCAATAGATAAATAGAAATGGAGGACAGATTTGCCACATATTGAAAGGGACTTAAGACACATCAGCCACATGCTTCGTGATGCTCACTTGGACCCTGATTTAAATAAATCAGTAATTTAACCATCACTTTTATAGAAGCAGAATCAGTTGAGTGGGTATTGTCCACACATGAACTCCACCTCATTCTTTTAGATGCCTGTGTAGTATTTCATTTTACAGATACTCTGAAGTAATACCATTCTTCTCTGAATGATTCTCCTATGTCTCCTTTTGTTGCTGTTATGAACAATGTGATCATGAACACCCTTGTTTGTGTATCTTAGAGCAAACAGTTCTGTTGGCCGGTTCCTAGGAGAAGGAGAGAAGGGCACTGGAGATTGACTGGCCCAGGGCCGCATGATCAGTAAATAGCAGAGCTGGCTGTCCAGCCCTTTCCTGTGTCCTGGAAGGCTGGCGGCAGTTTCTGTCTCCTGCCCCACATCCTGCCCTGGGGGTCTTAGGGGGTGCAACACACTGACCTCAGATGCCTCAGGACTGCTGTGCAGCACCCGCCTCACTACCTTCACCGCCAACAGTTGACAACTGCAGTCACCAGTCACGGAGCCCAGGCATCGCAGCCCTTCCTAGGGTGGAGTGCTATTTCTCAAGCTGAGATCCTGTAATCGAGGGAGCCCACTCTCCCTTGGCATATGAATTGTCCCCTATAGTAATGAGTTGACAGCTGAATGACAAGCCAGAGGACATGGCAGAATTTCTCTCTGGGGACTGTACTTGGTAATACATACCCGGCCACACCCAGGACGTCACTGTTGGGTCCACTGAATTAGAAGACTCTGGAGAAGAGAGGACAATGATGCCACTTGAGTGGGTGGCCCCGAGAGAGGCTCCCTTGTCCCGCCTCCTTCCCAGGGGTAATGGGACAGACCTGAAACAGAAGGCTGCTTTTTGGTATCTCCCCTAACCTGTTCTGTCCATCTCAGGTGAAGGAGCTGTCGCCTAGCAACTGGAGTTGGGTCATGACGTCCTTGGAATATTCTGTTCCCACCTGGTGACACCAAATGCTGGTTGATTATTAGCACAAAGACAGGGAGGTGGCAACCACTTTAGAGGAAAACAAGCCACATGGGACAGAGGGGCTTCGAGGGTGGCTTTGGGAAGGGGGTTTTTCTGTCCTCAGAAAGAAACTCCTTCCTCAACCCACAGGATTCCTTGGTATTAAGAGAACGCTTTGAAATACGAGCCCTGCCACTTAATTTCCAGTCTGTGAAACTGCAGTGCAAACTGTGTACGGGCCCGCCTCCCTGCACGTTTGGAGTCTGTAGACTTTGCAAGTGTTTTAAGCAACTGCCAAAAAGTGTCACATAAGTAACTATGATGTAGCACTAATGGCCTCTCTGTGTCCTTCTCTTGAGAATGTGTTAATAATTCACGCTTAACTAAGAGCCACTGTTGACACAGCAGCAGAAGGACTTTTCAAAGAGCCATTTCTGCACCAGGTAAATAATCCTAGATAAGCTTCTGCTCCCCCTGAGACTCGGTGTCTTGGAGCCAGGAGGGCGTGCTCTCGGGGAACTGAGCTGGATCCTCCTCTCCCACAGCCAACTCGGGAAATACGAGCAAAACACTTGTCACACAAAACAGATTTGAGGTGCTATTTGAGAGCTTGTGGATCTGGAAAAGAGAGCGCTGTCTTGCCCAGCCCTACAGGACAAAGGGCCAGGGTCCATCAGCCCTGCAGGTTGAGACCCCGTAAACAGCGAGGGAAAGACGTCGCCACGTCCCACTCCTAGAGGGTGTGGTGGGGTGCACGGCAGGCCTGGGGGCCTTTGGTGAAATCATGGCCATGTTCTAGGTATAACTTCACCGGATGCTTCTTTCACATATAAGCCTTGTTAGTGACAGACCTGTCAGCAAAATGAATGGCGACAGTGGCAGTGACAGGGGAGAGAAAGCAGTGTCTTTGCTCACTCATCACAGGGCCACGGCTGCTCTTCCATAACAGATGACAGCTGACAAGAGAAGGGCATATTTATTTAACCAGAGCCTTATTTATTCAACATGACCAGGAGCCTAGGAAATGAAGACCCAAAGACCCAAGAGAAACCGCATTTTATGCTCTTGTTTTCCCTTGGTGCTGGGGATTGAACCCAGGGGTGCTCAACCACTGAGCCACATCCCAGCCCTTTTTATTTTGTATTTTGAGACAGGGTCTCACTAAGTTGCTGAGGTCGGCCTTGAACTTGCAATCCTCCTGCTTCAGCCTCCAGAGTTGCTGGGATTACAGGCACGTGCTTCTGCTCCTGGTTCCTGTTGGGGTTGATGACAAATACCATTCAGAGGCACCCCTGGACAAGGAGGGGATGACCTGTAGGGCTAGGCAGGGAGCTGGACAAGGCTGTGTGTTCAGACTCCCTGCTTCTGTGTTCTTCCGGGTACACAGCAGGAATCGGCCACCTGCAGGTCTGTGGGAGAAGGTCAGAGAGTGGCCTTCTGTCACAGTTTTGATCCCAAAGCCTGAGTCCCTTTTCTCTCTTGGAATTAGGAAACAAGACCCAGCATGGACTGAGCAGCAAAGCAGGCTTCCATCCTTGGCCAAGGGTAGAAATGGGAAAGAAACTCTAAAATTGGCTTCCCACCCCTTGGGGGGAGGTTATGGACACAGGACAAAGGAAGTGGGGGAGGAACTGTCGCGTCTTCTGTTTCCTGAAGTCAGAGGTGTCTGGTCTCCCTGGCAGGGGCTCAGACCCAGCGCTTCCAGCCAGCCACCCTGCAGAGGGATTCCTGACCTTCAGGCAGTGTCCTCAAAGCAAGGCAGATTAGGGCCCAGTAGAGCTGAGCCAGGCCTCCGGGCAGGGCAAGAGCAGGCCGGGAGACCCCTCCTGCTTCTGCTGTTCTCTCACCTGACTTCAGTTTAAAACAGGAGGTACCGAGGTGCTGCATGTGGGTATCATGTTCTGATCCCCAGCACAATTCTCCGATGTCCTTGACATCATTTGAATGAGAATGTGCCATTTAAGATGGTCTCCTGTACTGCGGGGACAAGCAACTCTGAGGAAGAAGGAATTCAAGGAATTTGGAGTTGAGATTCCAACCATGATGGTATGAAATCTCCCCAACACCGCAAAGCCCCAGGCAGAAAAGGTCCTGCCCTTGGCATCGCACCACAGCCCACGTCTGTTCCCCCAAAGGTGGTTCTGATCCTCTCCCAGACAGTCTGAGACATTTGGAAGGTGTGGACTTTGACCTTCCAGGTCCAAGGTAGAAGGAGGGGGTCTGTGAGAGAACTGCACAGACCAGGTGGCTGGAGACCACAGAGTGCATTTAGCATCCCAGCCAGGGCATGAGTGGCCTGCTGTGCCGCACACGCCCCTGTGATGTGCTGCTCGCCACAGGCCCAAAGCAGGGGCCACCAGCCATGGACGGACACCGCTAAAACCGTGATCCAGAATGAAGCTTTCCTGTGCATTGTAGCTGACCTGCTCCTAGATAACCCACCCAGATCCAAGAAGCCTTCATGCTGTAATAACGTGGACCACAGCAGGTGGGCCAGACAGAAAATCTGCAGAGTTCATGCTATCAGGGATACTCCATTGATAACTAACCCACTCCCAGGATAACCAACCTACTTTCTCAATAACTAAGCCAATTCCAAGATAACTAACCCATGCCCAGGATAACTAACCCACTCCTATGATAACTAACCCTTCCCATGATAACTAACTTACTCCCTCAATAACTAGCTCACTCCCATGATAGCTAACCTACTCCCACATAACTAACACATCCTCAAGTAACTAATCCACTCCTATAACTTACTCCCCAAATAACTAACCTTCTACCAAGATAACTAAACCACGTCCAGGATAACTAACCTACTCCCATGATAACTAACCTACTCCATCAATAACTAACCCACTCTCACAACCAGTAATGTACTCCCACAATAACTAATCCACTCCCATAACCTAACCTACTCCCTCAATAACTAACTCATGCCCATGATAACTAACCTACTCCCATGATAACTAACCTACTCCTATGATAACTAACCTACTCCCATGATAACTAATCCACTCCTAGGATCACGAACATTCTTCCATCGTTATTAACCCACTTCCAAACAACCAACCCGCTTCCGTGACAACACTCCTTGGTAATGCCATTAATCGCCTCTTGAAAGGACCCCTCTCCACGCTGTCCAATGCCAGCCAAGGCTCAGCGGGCAGTGGGGGAAGTCACAGCACAGCCAGAGGGTCTCTGCAGGTCCCAGAGGAGCACAGAGTTGCTGGCACTTTGTCACACTGCTGGCCTCCAGAGGCGGGAGAGGACACATCTCTGTGATTGCAGCCACTGTGTGACATGGGTCTGCAGTGCCCCAGAGCCCTTGTGCTGAGGGCTCGGTCCCCAACTTGACACTGTTGGGAGGTGGCAGGACCTTTAAGGGGTCCTCAGGGGACAGGCCCTGGGGACACGCCCTTGATGTTGGGACCCCGGCCTCTCTCTTTTCACATCCCAGCCAAGACATGAGTGGCATGGCTGTGCCACACCCACGCCACCTGTTCCGGTGAGGAAGGCTGAAGAGCCAGGCCACCATCTGTGGTGGTCGGTGAGAGGACAGCTTCATTCTGGCTCACGGTTTTGGAGGTGTGCGTCCATGGCTGGTGGCCCTGCCGTGGGCCTGTGGCGAGCAGCACACCATGGAGCGTGGGTGAGGGCCGAGTGGACACAGCCCGCCCGAGGGCCTCCCACAGCCACACTGTCTGGCCTTCACATCCTGTGTGGGTCCCTCTGCGACAGAGGCTGGACCCCCTGACTTGTTCCCAAGGACAGCAACACAGCAGAGCCAAGGGAGGCCTCTGCCCACTGGGACAGGCCTGCAGGCCCGACTGCCACCTCGCAGACTCTCCTGGGGCTTCTCAGCCTGCACACACTGATGAAGGCAGGCGTGGCCAGGAGCAGAGGGGCCCTGAGGAAGAAGGTACAGCGAGCTGGACGGCCCTGACCTACGGGAGCTGTGGGACCTAAGCCTGTGGAGCCGCTCCGAACGGGTTGATTTGTCATGCTCCACAGCCCAGGGCACAGCCTGCCCCTCGGTGCCAGCCAAGCAGGCGCCAGCCCACAGCATGCGTCCTTGGCTTGACACCCTCCCGCCACATGCAGGCTCTTAGGCGAACCCGGAGCTGGCCCTTCTCTCCAGGAGCACATCCCTGCTGGGTCCCAGGACCCCGAGCCACACCCAGTGTCCGACCTGGGACCTGGCAGACACAGACGGGGTGGGGGTGGGGCTCAGCTGGGTGCAATGGCAGGCTGGACCCGTGTTCCTGAGACACGTCAGGCCAGGCAGCTCACAAGCAGCTCCAAGCCCCCGCTCCCCAGGGCCCACTCCAGCTGCAGCCAGGGTCCCTCTGAATGACCAGTGGCAGCTCTGCAGTGGTCAGTTACTCTGAACCTCACCCTACTGAGTGAGATGCACAGCCACAGCAAGGTCACTGTCCTCCCACCCCCGCCCAGTGGGAGAATGTCTAGAATGAGCACAGGCCCCTCCTGGCTTCTCCCTGCCCTGTCCACCCGAAGACAGCTGCTGTGGTACGTGTTCAAACCAGCTCCGGGGACAGGGGACGGGACCTCAGGCCAGGGGGCACAGGACTGGTGTCTGGGCCAGCGGGTGTTAGGCCAGGCAAGCCCTCCAGGGACCCCGTGGAGTCACCGCGTACTTGAAAACAAATGTCCTGGTCGATCCCAGTGCCGCCCCTGCCTACTCACGTAGGCATCTTGGCAAAGTCCCTGCAGCTCCCGGCAGGACTCTTGCAGATACACAGAGAGCACAGCTACCCAGGGGCCCTCCACGCAGCTTCCCGCAGGAGCAAGCCCTACCTGAAGCAGAGAACGTCCAGATCTCATCCCGGGCACCTTGGCCTGCGTTGCCTCCTAGACCATCAAAGTATCTTCCACGACTTCTGCTTCATCCCTAAAGGCTTGGAACCTTGTCAGTATGTCACCTAGACTCTCCATGTCTCCATGTCTGCCTCAAAAGAGAAAGAACACAACACTTCAGCCCGCAGGATAGGTGCTTGTAAGAGGTCCAATTTGAAAACTGTGTTGGCTTTCCATAGGCAGCCCCAGATGCTGCCCCAGGCTCTCCAATAGGATAGTCCCAGCTCTGTCACCACTGGCTGTGTGATCTCAGGAAGCTCACTCAACCTCTCTGTCTCCTCTCCTCCCACAGGAACTGGAGATAACCCTGACATCTGTTCAGGGCACTGCACTGGCCAGGTGCAGTGCTAGACAGGTGTGCTGGGTCCTCTGTTTCTCGCCCCTCCACCACCCCTCTTCTATGCCTACTGCATCCTTCGTCTCCCTCACCTGGTCCCAGACTCACGCGTTTCTCTGCTGCCTTTATTTTACCTTTTCTGACCTTCTTCTCTCCGTATTCTCTCTCCCTCTTTTTCATTCTATTTCTGATCCCAATGACCCCAGGGTTGGTGACGGACAGGGAAAGGTTTCATGTGGCTGTGACGTCTGGGCCAGGAGTGCACCTGCACAGAGGGGGCAGCGAGGCGGGGCTCCTGGGGGCCGCAGAGGTGCACAGGGCGGGGACAGACCCTCCACCAAGCTGGGAGGCATCAGGGATGCTAAGTGCTGCCCACGCTCCTGCTGCAGAACGCAGTGGGGCACTGCTGAAGGGGCACTTCAGCCACTCGGAACCATGACATCCTGCACCATGCCCGCCAGCCAAGGGCACAAGCTGGGGCACTCACAGTGTGCAGGGGACCTGAGCACCAGCTCTCCCCTAGAGCTGCTCACCTGGACAGAGCCTGCAAACACTGCCACCAAGACCATGGGGTGGCAGGAGGGGGCCATCACCACTGTGCTGTCCTGTGAAAACATAGGACCCCTGTCTTGGGCTTCACATGACATGTGCCACCCTCCAGAAGACACACAAGGGTCAGGTGTGGTGGCACACCCCTGTAATCCCAGTGACTCGGGAGGGTGAGCCCAGAGGATCGCAGGTTGGAGGCCACTCCGTGAGTCCTCAGCACCTTTAACAAAATTCAACAGAATAAAGGGGCTGGGACGTGGCTCAGTGGTAAAGCACCCCGGGGTCCAATCTCCAGTACCAATAAAGAAGAAAAGCAGACCTGCCGGCTGTCAGGAGGTCTTTCCCCAGCCCAGGGCACAGGTATTGATTTTATCCCAGGGACCTGGGGGCAGTTGGTAGAGGGACTGGCCAGCCCCGAGGGGATACTGTGTGGAGGGGAGTGGCGGTGACGCCTGAGAGCCAGGTGAGAACAGAGAGAGAGGACGCATGGTCCCTGGATGCTGGCCCTCCAAGCCCTCCCCGTTGCTCCCCCAAATGCAATCCGTGCCCCCCCCGGAACGGCAGCCCAGGCTGGGGTTTGCCTGAGTGGACTCCCCGCCCGTGGCCCACCTGGCTCTTCACTCCAGGACTCCCTGCCCAGGGGCTCCAGTGTCCTCCGGAGTCCTCCCTCCGTCTCTCCCTCCTTGGTCCTGACTTCTGGGGGGGAACCTCTAGACCCCTTAGACCACAGCAGGAGTGGCCACACGACTTGGCAGTCCCAACATGACGGGGACGCGTGGGTCCCAGGTCCAAAAAGTAATGACTTTCTGGATGGTGACAGCCATGTGTCAGCGCGGCAGGGACACTGCGCCACTGCCCGAGTCCTGGCCTGTGGGGCCCGCCCTGGGGCTCCTCCCTGCACAGACGAAGCTGAGGCGGGGGCTTGGGACCTGGGGTGCCCCTGAATGCATAGAACAAGCTGTGCCTGTTAGTTCCAGAGACGCTGCCCCACCCTGGGGCGGAGGCCAGGAGCAGGCGGACTGGAAGGGATCCCAGAGGTAACCCTACTCACCTCAGGAACCCGGAGGCCAAGGAGAGGAACAGGCGTAGCCGTCCTTCCTGAGCCCGCCTTGTGTTGCCACCTAGCCGCAGCCCAGGCCGAGTGCCTGGGAGCCCATCTTACAAGGGGACACCAGCGGAGACCCTGCCTAAGGCTGACTCCAGGGTGTGTCCCCCCCTTGTCCCCCAGGCCTGGGGACCGCCAGGAACTCCAGCCCCTTCTCCTGACACCCAGCTCAGCCCCTCCCCAGCATGGTTGCCTCCCTAGCCCCCGGCAGCTGCCCTCCCCAGTTTGAGATCAAGTGCTTCAGTGCCCCAGAGGGCAGTGGGCTGGGACAGAGCTGGGGGCTGGGACTGTGGGGGATTCTGGGCTAAAGCCACCACGTAGTGGGTTGGGCCAATCCCAAGCAGAGACCCTGACCCACCCACCCACACATCCGCAGGACCTGGGAGGGCTGCTCTTGCCAGAGGTCCGGACTGAGCCTGCTGATGTCACGGAGCCTCCGGGCTTGGAAGGCTGGCAGGGGTTAAAAGATCCTCACCTGAAGGCTGCCTGGGCTGTGCCTGCCCAGGAGACAGGCACAGCTGCAGGTGTTGTTCTCAGGATGCTTTGAGGACAGATTTCCTGCTGTCTCAGGTTGAGGAAGTTGGAGGCTGCACATTCCTGAGGTTTCTCAGTGCTCCTGGAGCAGCCAGCTAGGCTCCCACCACCAAACTGACCCTGGGAAACTCTTGTTTTTGCAAATGGCTCCAGACATGGGGTGGGGAAGAGGCGGGGCCTGAACTGTGCTCATCTCACCTTGTGCAGGGGAAGGCTATGCCCCCCAAATATATGTGCGAGTCCATCCAGCCATGCCTGTGGAGGTGACCTGGTTGGGAAGCAGGGTCTTTCCAGGTGGAGTCAAGGCCAGACTGGAGAGGGTGGTCCCCGAGCCCAGTGGCTGAGGGAGAAGAGATACATGGAGGAGATGGAGTGACAGCAACCAGGGCCTGAGGACACTGAGGACCAAGATGGCAGCTGGAGGAGGGGCAGGGAGGTACTGGTCCCAGACCCTTGGAGAGTGTGGTGCCCTGGGACTTCCAGCCTCCCCAGCCATGAGAAACCACCGTAGCTGCAGCCTGGTGTCCACCCAGGGCCCTCTTAGTTACAGCAGCCTGGGAACCTGCACCGGTCCCAGCATTGTTTTCCAGGACGATTTGCAGATGCTGCTCCCACCCTGGTGCTACCCTGAGCCCCAGTGACAGGGGTATGGGGATGACTGCCCCCTGCAGAGAGTGTCCAATCATAGACCATGGCCTTCTGCAGCCTGCAGGTGGCACAGACAATCCTGTCTTTAGAGTGGCATAAGTGTCATGAATTCCTGAATGGGGACAGCATAACAGTGAGCATGGCAGTCCGACCAAGGACCTTGAACTTGAGCAAAGGTGAAGAGCAAATGAGACCTGGACATAGAAAGGCCTACTGAGAATGGACGATCCACCCATCCATCCACCTATCCTTCCATCCATCCACCTATCCACCCATCCATCCACCCATCCATCCATCCATCCACCTATCCATCCATCCACCCATCCATCCATCCATCCATCCATCCATCCACCCATCCATCCATCCCCCTGGCGGACTTACTGGAGAAAGACCCTGGGGAGGGGAGGAGAAGCTGACCTTGGACTATGTGGTCACTTAGGCCAGCTGACAAGAAGCCCCCGAGTAACACAACCCACAGGGCACAGGAGATCCCGCCACAATAGCCCCCACAGAACCACAGATGGGTCATGGCTGTGCTTCCTCAAACACAGCAGAGGCCAGAGTGCAAGCCCTGTTCACCCAAGTCACATCCCACGAAGGCACAGCTGCAGGGAAGACAGTCCCCACATGTCCCAGGCCCTTCTGCACTCAGAGGTGACCCTCTTTGGAGCATGTCTTCTGACGAGTCATCATCTGAAAGAATCTCATCTGCAGAGGCTTCCCTGGGGACCACACAGCTGCCCTGCTGCCTCACCCCGAGGACACACCGCCTCCTCGCCTGGCTCTTGCCCTCCTTTACCACCAGCCACACTCTGGCAGGCACCAGCACAGAGCCTGTCGCCAGCTCACTGCCAACTCGGCAGCAGGCAGCACACATCCATCCATCCACCCATCCATCCACCCATCCATCCACCCATCCATCCACCCATCCACCCATCCATCCACCCATCCATCCATCCATCCACCCATCCACCCATCCACCCATCCACCCACCCATCCATCCATTCATCCATCCATCCACCCATCCACCCATCCACCCATCCATCCATCTATCCTGGACACGCCACGGGTCCTCATGGAACTGGAGACAAGTCACAAAACACAAGCCCTCATGAAGCCCTGCCAGCAGCACTGTCCCTCCAAACCCTCAGAAGGAACCAGCCCTGCCCCACCCTGACCCAGGCTTCACCTCCAGAGCCAGGCTGATTGCTGTCCTTTGAGCAGCTCAGTCTGAGGCTCTTTGTGACGGCAGTCTTGAGATAGTGACACAAACGTGCACACACAAGTATTTCCTGCCTATGGAATAAACATGGAAAATGCAAAAACCACAAAAAGGGAAATGGCGCGCCTGCCTGTCAGAGAGGGTAGACTTTGGGTATATTTCCTTCCATTTTTTGTCCCTGGGTGTAGATTCCAAACCCAGTTCACATCACGTACTTGTCCTTGAAAACATGGTTAGTATTTTCCCATGTAATAAAATGCCCCTTTACATGGGTCTGTGATATGCCATCGAGGGAGCTGCAGCGGGGCCCAGGCAGCCAGGGCAGGATGGCGACTGAGGAGGTCGGGGCAGGGCCGGACCGAGGAGCGTGGAGAGGGTCTCCTGATGGCCCCCTTCCTGCTTGATGAAAGAGCTCGTGGACTCGTGGGGACCTGACGAGCAGACACTTCTGCACTCGTGCTCCCAAGCAGGGGACCCAATAGAAAAACCAAAACAGTCACGGGGACACGGGGGACACCAACCTATAATAGTGAGGAGCACGTGGACAGGGAGGAGACAAGGACGGGAGGAAACTCCAGAGACCATAAAAGGAATAGGCCCAACTCCCCAGCAGACTCCCAGCTCTGGGGCCCTTCTCTCCCGAGAAGTCTCCCTCGGCCTCTCTGTCGCTTTTCAATAAACCTGCGTCTCGCTGCTGCCTCTGTGTCCTTCAGTTCGTTGCTGAGCTGAGACAAGGAACTCAGCACCCCTAGAACCCAGCACCCCAGATGGTAACACCATTAAATAGATGGTTACAGTCTAATTCAGATTGTTTCCAATTGTTGGCGGTTGTGAGGAACTCCAAAGTGAGCATGCTCGTGCCTAAGTCATTTCTGAGCATTTCCTTGGGACATTTCTGGGGTAAAGCCAGGCTTGACCTAGCCACCAGATCAGACCTGCTCCCAATATCCTTTCCCTCCCCATTTAGTAAAGACCACAGTTTGGCGGGGGGTAGGAGGGGCTACCCATGCCACAGGGATGGCCATGATTGTTGTCAGCCAGCCAGGTGCATCCCTCCTCCTACCCCAGGGACCATTCAGAGTCACTCTGCCCTAAAGTTGTCTGTGTGCAGAACTCCCCTGACCACAGAGATGGGTTCAAAAACAGGTGTGCAACCTACTTCCTGCCGGAGAGACAAGGGAGGGAGAGGCTCCCTTGCTTCTCTGAGAGGCACTCTGAGAGCTGGCATTCATTTCCTTCTCCTGGATGGTGCAATATGTAGCTGTAGGACTTGGAGTCCCTGCAGCTGTTTTATCCCTGGAGGGAAGGCTTCCTTGGGCAGAGCAGAGACAGAAGGTAACCTGGTCCTCAATAGCCCTGTTTAATACGTGGATCAAACCAACCCATTTCCAGATTTCTAGGAACGAGAACAGAGCAGTCCTCATATTGAAGCCCGGTTGAGTGAATATCTGTATCACACAGAACTAGTGAGGTCTGCCCTCTGGGGTCTGCCATGGTCAAGAAGCAGAGATGGAGAGAGCACACTGGCCCTTCCTGTCCACAAGGCGCGGCCTTCTGCTTTGTCAGTACTCAGGCCTCGGTAACTAGCAAAGAGAAGAGCCTGGGACAGACCCGACATGGGCCTGGGCTCACCAGACATGGCAGCAGACCTGGCCACCACACACATCCACGGGGCTCCTTCCAACCAGCCGTGGTGGGCTGTGGAGGGACAGGGAGACAGGTGAGGCTGAAGAGCAGCTGTGGCAAGGACCTTCGCCCTTCCAGAGCACCAGAAAACCGCCGGAGTGAGACCACATAAGACCCTTTGTGCCCACAGCAAAGTCTAGAATCCGGGGAGCCTTCCCTCTCCTGTCTTGCCTCTTCCCAAACACGGGGACTCACCATGGTGTGGGTTGAAGTGTGCCCCATGCACGTCCCCCCAGGGCCTTGGAATTGACCTTCCTGGGGAATAGGTCTGTGCAGAGGTACTGGCTTTAAGGACCTCCAGAGGAGGTCGACCTGAATTAGCCAATGGGCCCTCATTCCAAAGCCTGGTGCTGTTTCAAGAAGAGACACAGAGAGAGGCAGCAGGTGAGGTGGAGATGAGACTGGGTGATGCGTCCGCAAGCCAAGGAGCACCAAGCATTGCCACTGCCTCCAGAAGCCCAAGGTCATGGCTGGTTTCCCCAGAGCCTGGGAAGGCGGGACCCTGCGGAAATCCTGACCTTAGATTCTGACTTGCAGGGCGAGAAGAGTCCATTTCTGTGTTTGAAGCCACCAAGTGAGTGGCGATATGCTCTGGCATCCCTGAGAACCCCGGCACCCTGGGGCATTGGCATCAGGC